TTGCAGTTGAAATTTTTTTTGAGTGTTAATCAATAATAATACAAATTCTATAATTAATTTTATAATTTCACATTTATCTTGATATCCAAAATTAAGGTAAGAAGGATAATGAAGACTGTGTAAATGAAAGTATTATGAATATATAAAATTGTAATAATAATAACATTTATTTATATATTTACATTAGAATTAAAAATTATCATGTACGGATTTTTTCTTAATGGTTTTAAACTTATTAGAATTATTTTATTTCTTTCAAGTTATTTAATTTCTAGTTATTTACAGGCAACGATAGTTTTGATTATATGTTTTGATGTTTTGAAATACTACCATGACGAGTCTTATAGAACAATACGCGTCAATGGGAGATAGAGGTAACATCTTACCTATAATGTTACTAATACAATATACTTTGATTATAATGTTTGTATTATAATTTCCTAAAAATATCAATTTAGTGGATTAATAGCAATTTTAAACATATATTTTATTGAAGAGTGTGTTGATAAGACTAAAATAAGCTTTATGTTTTATCTTTTTCTCTTTAGAAGGGAGATGGTGAGTGTCGTAGAATACATTACAGTATTTAATATCGTGTACTTTGATATTTTTTTCTTAATTTACTGTAATTTCTTGGTTCCTATAATGCCAAATCTTGACAATATGGTGAAGGTTGAGTTTTGATCTTATTAGTTTTATACCTGTGTTTATACAAAACCAAATTAAAATTAGTTTGTAATTAATTTGTGATTTATATTAAGATCTTTCTTATAATATTTGTTATGTCTTAATTTTAATACTAATATTATGCTTTGTCTGGAAAATATATCTTAATTTTGCATATCCTATTCTATCCTTCCATTAGGAAAAATATGGTTTAGAAATCATATTATGCTAAGAAAATCACATAAATTAGGTGTAAGAATAGAGAAATCTTAAGGTAGCAGAAAAATTAATGCAATATATGTATAAGCAGAATTAAACAAGGTAACTGTAAATGTTGCTGAAGCTGATTCTACAATTTTAATTACGGAGGCTAAAAGGCCTTTTAAGGCCTCCGTAGTTTTGATGGAATGTTAAAAAAACCTATTATGAACATGACATGGAGCTACAGCATTTAAAAATTTAAAAAAAGAAAAAACTTGGACACATCCCTTTTAATTTCCCGAATTTTTAATAAAGCACTTTTGAAACGTAGCATAATAATCTAGAGCAATTAGATTAATTATAGGAATCTAGAGTTTTATTTCTATTTAATTTTATTGACTATGAAAATACATAATAAGCGTTCACGTTTCACGTGTTGTGCGAAATATTAAAATAATAATATAAATAATATACCGCGTATACTATGATTGAAAAAATAGCGTCAGGGATGACTATGAAATGAAGATCGTTGTCATTTTATATGGGAAATGTACTCAATCGTCATTTCCCGCCAACTGACGCCGTTTTTTCGATCATACTGTATATATTGACAAAAAAACACTGAAAAGCACATATTTGTTTTCTACTAAAAATAATTCCAAAATAACTTGCAATCTGGCAACATCGAAGATGTGCGCATGCGTAGTGTCTGTGACTATATGCAGCAAAAACTCGTTTCAAGGTCAGCCACCGGATCCACACCATTACCTATCCTTATTTCTAAATTTGAATGTATAAAATATCTTACAGCTAATAAATAATTTAAAAAACCATTCGTTGCCTGAGGTATACTTCAAATAAAGTATAAAGAGATATTTGATAAATGGCAACAGTGGCAACTTCGCTTCTTCATATGACAGATAACCTACTTATTTCGCGCAGCCGCAAAGAAAATTGAAAACGGGACTGTCGCTACTCGGCGGTTTATTTACTCTGGTATTAGCTATAAGGCAATTTCCTCTTTTAGCAAATGATTCAACTTTTGTACAAACAGTTTCTAAAATCCGCCAGTTTCCATTGCAGGCCATCTACAATAAACTAGGTCCTCTAAAAACTGCAGCGCTTTCCAGTTTGCATGCATTGTCTGGCGCAGATGTCGGGTTCTTTTAGAGGAAAATCAAAAACTACATTCTGGAAAAAATTCTTAGTAGCTTCGACACATACTCTGGAAACTCTGGCATCCTTAGGTGAAACCGAAGAGATTGAAGAATCAGTTTTTTTCTAAAATTGAACAATTTATATGTTCCCTCTATAACCCAAACCAAGAATCACTGTCCGACATGGGGTGGTGGACATTTTCAAAAAAACAAAGTTCTGGTGCCTTACCGCCTACTTTAGGAACCTTAAAACCAGCTATAAGACGATGCCATTATCAATGTATGGAGTGGTGTCGTGATACATTGGCTCATCTAAACCTCCCATCACCGGATGATTACGGATAAACTATTATAAATAAGTAGATTATTGTAGTAAAATAAAACACTAATTCTCCGCAATACACCAAAATACATTACTTTTAAACACTGGACGGGTATTTCGCTAACTATGGTAGCATCATCAGCAGACGATTAAAACTAAACTAATATCTACGAAGTTGAGCGTTTATAGGCCGGCAATATTGCCCGGGCCCGGCAATAGTGCGTCGGGCACCTTTAGCTCCTAGAATAAAAAAACTTGGAAATTTTGTATAAACGCAAACCTAAAGTATGTACTAGGAT